TGACACCACATTCACTTTTCACTGAACTTCATACTTGACGAAAACATGTACGCACGCCTCAGAGCGAGGTAACGCCGCATGAGTCATGTTTTTTCGTGCGTGCAGCCGGCTCCATCGAATTATAAGACGTTGTCACGTCAAAAACGCGAGATAAACCGTAAATGTGATTTTTAATTGTATCTACGAATCGCCGAAACCGATACTTAATAGAATTGGCTATTTAATTAATATTAATTAATACAAAATTTATCAAACGAGCTCGACTTCACGACGAACTTCAGGGATTTAGGTGGAAAGAATTCGCACTCAAAATCTATAGCTCTATAATATGTTACACAAGTTATTTACGAATACTAAGCGTTTACTGGCCAAACCTTGTATAGCAATTTATCCATGTCCGAGCACTCTGTTAAGGGCATTTAACATTTCCTTTCTGTGGCTTATATCTCTGGCCACGTGCTTTATAAGTTTTGTACCGAAAAGCGTAATCGGACTACACACAGTAAGTACCTAATAGATATTCGATTAGTATAGACAATTTCGTGTTTTTTTTTTAATTCGTATTTCGACGTCTATGGCCTAATTAGTAGCTTGTCGGCGTAAAACGTGACAAACAAAATACACCGACACCCCTGTTTAGGAAAAGCCCAGTAAAACTTTCGACCGAACTCTGTTAGTGATCTAGTAATGCGATCCTAATATATGAGTATGACCATACCGAGCCGAGCTTAAAGCCAAGTTTTAAAAGCTTCATCGATTTTCCCACGGATTCCGCAGCTTTTGTTTTAGGCACGTAACAAAAGTTAAATACGGTTACATCGATAATATTTTTTGCTGTAGTATCAGAATGTCGATTAGCAATTGTGTAAAATAGTTATTATTATTTTAAATTGCTTACGGTATTACTGTAACTCAATCTACACGAGGATAATATTGCACGTACAATTATTTGTTCTCAATTACGTTTTTATTTGAAATGTTTCATGTTAAAAGCATTTTTTTTAAAACAACATACAAAGAAAATCGTGAATATTATTATTTTGAGGGTTGGTGCGTTTGTGCACAATGGCTGAAATAAATAGGTGATGGTATTCGCCGATGTACTGATAGGATGGTTTCATCCAAAGGAATATCTATTTTTCATTAGTTTTTTTTAATTGCTTAGATGCGTGGACGAGCTCACAGCCCACCTGGTGTTAAGTGGTTACTGGAGCCCATAGATATCTACAACGTAAATGCGCCACGCACCTTGAGATACAAGTTCTAAGGTCTCAAGTATAGTTACAACGGCTGCTCCATCCACCCTTCAAACCGAAACGCGTTACTGCTTCACGGCAGAAATAGGTAGGGTGGTAGTACCCGTGCGGACTCACAAGAGGTTCTACCACCAGTAAAGGTACTGAAATTTTATATTATCGTATAATAATATTCGTTTTCATCGACTATCGATATTCTATCGATATAATTTCCCCTCGGCTACCGTTCGCGGAACGTGAGTGCTCACGACGTACGGCGCGCGTGACGTTACCGAACCCAGTTCCGATATGTCGCCGATACCTAACTTAACGTCCTGTACAAATATGAACTTTGCACTTATAGACTTAGATGTTTATTCTGGTTATTAGTTAATTTAACAACAATGTTGTTTACGGTCAAACGAAACTGTATATTGAGGGCGTTGAGGGTAATTCTATTAGTATTCTGAAAACTCTAAAATAGTTCGAACGAAACAGTCAGTTCAAAAAAAAAACATTTTTTTTTTAGCTGAGTTCAGTCAAAATTTCGATTTTTTTGTTAACATAGAATATGAGAGCCCGGTAAGCAATTGTCTAATGAAAATAAAAATTAATAATACACATTGAAAATTGCATATACATATTAATCACAAGCGGCCCGCTCCGGCTCCGCTCGGGTCTTTGACAAAAATTTCGACAATATATTTTGACGTTATTTTATTTTTTTAAATAAAAGATCACTTATTGCGGCATAACTACAATAGTTCTACAAAGTCGTAGTATATTATTTTATTATATCATCAATAGTTTTCACAGGGCACGCGATTTAAAGAATATTTTAGATATTTTTTAACACCTTGGGATACATTATTGGAGTTTTAGTAAAGATCCCTAATTTTTTTCAAAAAAGATTATAGCCTATGTCACTCGGGAATAGTGTAGCTTCCAAACAGTGAAAGAATTTTTCAAATCGGTTCAGTAGTTTCGGAGCCTATTTAATACAAACAAAAAAACAAATCTTTCGTCTTTATAATATTAATAATAATATAGATTCACAAAATCTAATCCAGGGTGCTTGCTCTAAGTATACTAAGTGTACAAAATCGTACGAGCCTCTCACATTAATCTTTATCAGCTAGAGTTGCATTCGATTTATATCAATCAACGTATAAATCGTTGTTCAAGGCTTTCCGGCAGTTCTCTATTCGTATTTAATTCGATGCGTGTACTCCTCTATCAACGAGAAGAGAAAACAGGCAGGGTGTGGACAGATACATTTAATTTTGTAAATAAATAATATTAGTGGTCTTGTACTTTTCAATTTTGGTTAGTTCTCAAAAACAGAAATAAAGCGATATGTTTCATTGTAACATGACCTCAAAGAGTTCGAAACATGTCGTGAACTTTGGCTCGTGTTGGCTAAACGAAACTTTATTACGTATGACGTCATTTGGGGTCAAAATAAACGATGACCGTGAATCATACATGAATAAACACCGATTTGTATTATGTGTCACTGAGTAAAGACGAATAAGCACAAATTTGACTTATTAACAGCTTTATCGGATGTATTAATTAAAAATTATAATTTGCGTAATTACTGATGGTAGGGCGTCTTATGAGCCCGCATGGGTAGGTATTAACCACACTATATCTGTCATGAAGATGATTCCCTTATATTAGAAAATCTATATGCGTATATAATACTCGTAGTCTTAAATTCTAAGATCTCGATTCCGATTAGAAGGGAGATTCTACGAGGCACTGCTCTAACTAGGACAAGTGTAAGCAAATACTTTCAGGTTGAGCCAATGATCTCACCTACCCGCCCGCGCGAATCGGGAATGGCCCTTTAGGGAAAAAAGGCTTTAAATTCACAATCACAGTTGATAGACGATGTAATGGATTTTGAGATTACGTATCGATTTTCACACACACATATACATAGTATATGTTTTAGGTGGCTTCCCTTGGGTCGTTTTAAAATTTTCCAACTGAATCAAACCTTCGTAATTCTTTTCGGAAACAATTGCCGTGATGCGAAATCATATGAACACATAATCATTTTAAATGCTTCCATAAGAATTTAAACCAATGGTTTTATCGGGTTTTAGTACACGAGTATTGGTTAAGTGACGCTGTCAATTATCGTCTCGTTAGCCGGTGATCGATTCTCCGAAGGGCTGTAACGTTGTACGTCAACGGAGTTGATGCCAAGCGCTCTTAGTTAAATTAGAATTACTCACACTGTACCTTGTAAAATATACGCTTATTAAATGTATATAAATAACAATTTTTTTTTATTGCACTTGAAGGTAGACGAGCATACGGCTCATCAAATATCAGATGGTGAGTGGTTACCGTCGCCCATGGACTTCAGCAATGCTAGGGGCAGAGCCAAGCTGCTGCCTACCGCAATTCATTGCCGTTCTTGGTAAGCATATCACGTGTGAAGAACTACGCCAATTTGTTTTTTTTTGTAAAATATCACCTTTTTAGGCATGTCAAAATGCAATATTCGCGTAACGATCATGAGTAAGTTTAGTGTTAGTTGGAAAATATAAGAATAACGAATTATTTCATTGGATCATTGGGCACATGGAGGGAAGTCTTATGAAAGACGGGCGGGAAGAACTAGACGAAAAGATCCGAAGATCTCCAAGTTCAGTGGCGACTGAGAGAGATATAACTCGCCCTATCCTGGATTAAACAATCCAAATACGTAAAAGATAAGAATTTGCGTCGATTTGTGAATTTAATACGCCTCCCGAACTTATAATAGCCAAGTTAATGCTGATATAGTATTTGGCGAATGATGATTGCTTTATTTTAGACACTCAAAGGCCTCTACATATTCGGTTTGTTTGATACAGGATAGGGCAATAGATATATATACATATAATATATATGGCGCCGAAATATTTAGTAGATCCTAGAAAAGACGAACCCGAAGATACTAAGAATTAATCTATTCCTAAGAGACCTAAAACACAAATTAAAACATACATTAAAAACAAAAGAAGGCAAAGTTATGCAATTCAAGCGCTTAGTAACAGAAATCGACATAATTACTTCAGTGCGCCCTGTAGGGCACCGGTGACCTACACAGCAGTCAATGTGTTAATATATAAAGAAATAAATACATATATTACTTCTAAGCTTTGTCGTGTTTGGGTTGATGCTATAGCGGCCCGATACGGACCGTTGTAAGGTCTGTATTACTTCTAAGCTTTGTTGTGTTTGGGTGGATGGTATAACGGCCCGGTATGGACCGTAGTCGTCACTGCAGTTGATCTATATTAATCGCTACAAGAATAAAAACGTTATGGTGAAACTAGAAATCCATACATTAATACGTGAAACAAAAATTTTGTACAGCTTTTTACGAAAATTTCGCGGACGGATGAGTATGAAATTTCCCACACTTATAGAGAATATAGAGTAGGAGTGCAGAAAGCTAATATTTTTTTTAAATTATGCTTTAAACATACATTAAATCAATAAAGGAAACATTACACATACTACTATGTATTTGACACACACACATATATACTCTTTTGTTTATTGTCAAACTTTTGTTAGTGCTTAAAGCCTGTGGTCAAATAAGAATAGATTAATATTGTTTGTCTTAGACGAAATCTGTGATTATAGAAGTAAAGTCTTTGATAATAGAACCATAATAATGTTCAAACTTATAATTTTAATCAATAAATATGGTCGAATTTCGTCCGGTCGGCGACCACTAGTATAAATAAATGAACTTACTTTGTGTTTCAGAAATGATAAGTCCCTCACGGGTATCGTTCTTTTAGTAACTTTAAGCTCCCTCTGCAATATCTCCATAGTGTTGATGTCCTGGAAGCCATTCTCTTGTAGAACTAGACATGTCCTTTGTACTTGTTCGATGCAAGGAGAGAACGAACAGAATCTTCCGCCTGTAAGAGATTTAGAGATGACGTGTTGAAATACGTATTGGAATAATTCAATAATTTGCGATAATTCTATGATGATCTTGTGTACGAAAAGTGTTTTTCATACTTCGCGAACAAAGTATTTCAATGAACATCAGTTTATTTTATTGAAACAGAGTTAGTTATCGCTTTATCTGTAGACTTAGGGGCTAGACCGAAAGAAGTGTAAGAACGAAAAACGACATCAACAACCGACATATCGTCTTTTCGCATTAAAAGTGTACAATTTCCAAAAATATTTGAAATTGAGTTAATATGCGGAATCATTTGATATCACCAGTATTTTTCTCATAAATACTGTCAAAAGAGCGTAGTTTAGTTTTAGTTTTTTTTTTACTTTGCCTATATTTTGACTACTATTAACAAAATTAATACATAATTTTATCTTACTTTAAAAGACATATAATGTATCTGATAAAAAATAAAAAATAAATGTTGTAAAGATGATTAATATTAAAAATATCACATGTTAAACTTTTAAAACACTCTCCTTTAAAATTAGTAAGTTTTGAGATTATACAATTTTAATGTGGGAAGACGATATATTTTTAGTAATTTTTGAGGCACTTCCCGATCACCTGAGAAAGTGAATCTTTTTTCTATCGATTCAACTAGGCGTCATTTAAAAAAAATAAAAATTTATTATAAAATAGTGATATATTTTTTTCACGAATATGTATTCCGCAAATTGATCTGCAATACCAACTTGATTTGCATTTATTCACACTTTATGATTCGTTTAATTATTTCATGCTGTTTCTTTATTTTTTATTTAATCATTACTCAATCAAAAAAAAAAAAGATATAGCAAAAGGAACTCCGTTCCAACCGAGTGTCCATAAGACGCCGATCTCTTTTTATAATGATGTGATGGTACGAGTTTAATTTTTTATTTGTTTATTTGTAAATGAAGTCATTGACCTGTAACGGGACCAAATTTCAATTTGTATCCGAGATTGTAGATATGTATGACAGGGAACTCCTAAAGCTGATCGTAACAGTATCGGACTTCGGCCGGGACCATTGTATGCGCTCGCATCACAAGCGTAGGAGCCGATAATGTCCAAAAGGATCTCTTTGCGCGCGTCAGGATGCGCCCAAGCTCGTAACAATGTTTGAAGAGAGCCGGCGGCGATCGACTTAGCTATTACGCAACTCCTCCAACAAAATCGAAGCGTCTCACCGATGCGCGCGCACACGTAAAAGACTATCCAGACAAAACGAAATGTCGACAGATGTTTTCATTCCCATGTGATAGATGCGATAGGATCCCGGACGGCCGCGCGGCCGGTTCAGATACGACTATACTTTTTTTTTGTTATAGCTATACAATTTTGAAATTTTACAAGTCGTAAACGGCCCGGGAAACGACACGTCAGGCTTTTATGTGGGCCGCCCGGGCTTATCTGTCAAATCTTATCGACCTATAAGGACGGCGAACGTCACTCACTCTGCCAATCTGAGCGGCGCGGGCGCAACGCCGCGGGGGGCGAATTTGAAATAATTTCAAAAATAGGAACGGTAATTGTACTATATTTTAAATAGTGTATCGCGTGCCGAGATGACATAGCCCGCGTGCCGATCGATTCACGTAATGAGTTCTGATGCGCATCAAGCCCCTAATGAAGGCATTTACGAAATTATCTTGACACTTTTACCATTAAAGGCTTATATTTAAAAGGACATTTGCATAAGTTATTTTTCTGCTGGATTTTTGTTAACAAAATTTTGTATCGATCATGAAACAGTGATATGGTTGAAAAAGTGAATGTGGTATAATTAACTCAATTTATGGCTTATGAAACGTCGTATTTTATTTTAGGGATCACATTTTAAGTTCCAATTTTGAAAAAAATATCACATAGTTTTGTTAATGTTAAACTTTTTACTGTATCCGTTCATGTAATCAAATAATGTAAACCGATTACTTTTGAATGCAAATAACACATTATAATGACACTGAAAATAATAACAGTATACACAATAAATATTGGTTATTAAAGACGCCAACCACTTTTAAAAATTTTGCTAGTACTCTTTATGAGAATAATAATAATGCCCCAATTGGGATTCTTACGGTACACCAGTTGGAGACTCGAACTTAAAGGATTTATAGTCTTCCGCTAATACCAACTAGTTTCATAAAGTTTACAACTTCGGACGAGTATTTTGACAAAGTGACTTTATTTTAAAAAGGGAATGAAATTCCAATAAATCCTTTAGTGCATATTTAGAGGAAGTGTCCAAAGAAATATTTCCTCAAACTGTAAGATTGGTTCCACCGATTTAGGTTACCAATAAAATGAAAATTGTATTTACAATAGATCGCGCTTAAAATATTACAAAGAATTTACATTTAGTATATTTTGTAGATTTGAAATCGTATCACTACTCCTCGATTGAGAGAAGAGGAATATTCACTAATCAAGATGAATCTGAGGTTGAGAAAATAGGTGCATTTGAGGGTAAGCACATGTTTATGTAAGTGTTATATATACTAAAGTGTCTGTGGTCCTTATTGTCAAGTAAATATTCAAATGATTCCAACCAGAAGTTGGAGTTGTAAAATCTTTGGAAAAACAATTGAAACTTTAACTTCATGCGTTTCAAATTGTTATATTTGAGTCGACTATTATCAAAGCCGGCAATCTGACTTTTGGACAATGATTGGTAAATCAGAAAAACGAATTATTGACTTTGTATTCCATTGGCAGTCACAAAACTCTTCGGAACGACATCTTAGATAAATAACAGTTTAACTATTAACCTTTATTTAATGCAGGTTTTGAACCGTATTCTTTGAAGGAGACGATTATATTCAAATCAATCTGTATTGACATATCAATAAATTTTTTTTGTCCAAATGCACAGATTGCCACCTTTGATAATAGACGACTCATTTATAGGTTCTTGTAACTGCTGAACGCTCGGAGGGTCGTCAATTCAAAAACATTAGTTATAATCGGCAGTCGGAGTTCACACGGAAAACTGTTTATGTGTCTCAATTGACGAATCTCCTGTGTTACTGTTAAGCATTTAAAAGAATTCATAGACATAACAATATGAAAGGCACGAAGTCGATAATTCAATTGTTTTTTTGGGACAGTTCGCGGCAACTGTTAGCAGAAAGGTGGTACGTACTAGTATGAAAAACTTACTATTTGAAGCGGATACTGGAGCTCGTGGACACCACGTTATCGATGCTGTCCAATTTGAGACAAATATCAGTCTCAATTGCTTTGTTGACTCAGTTTTATTGTGTAAAACAAATTTTTACGAATTAGCGCGTAGAAGTTATTCACGAAAAACGCGTTAGATCAATTATTTATTTAGAAACTTTGCCGAATTAAAACGGAGAACTAGACAATCCTCCAACAAGGAAAAGGATGCTTGCTTTCCTTAACAATCACAACACGTGGGATATTTCTTATCGCTAATTTTTGGTTTGTTGCATGCATTTCATAGGCCATTTGTGTGAACTCTTTTCATTTAAAGGTTACATTATAGTCGAGATCTTCGAATACCTATCGATACGAGTAGAATCCTGATCGTTACATTTTGTAACAATGTATTATAAATGTTACGTAACAAGCCTTTTGTGTCCGTAAGTACTCTCGTTCACTCACAATGTGTAACAACAGCATTCTAGAGCTGTTCGATAACATGCATATCGATAAATTTAGTGTCGATAGTTTTTGGTTTAAAATGTAGTGTTTATGTGTCGATGAAATGGGCAAAGAATATTATTAAAGAAATTCATTGCGGTATTTTAAAGATGGGACGGACAAGAAGTTAATGAAGAAAAAGGACCTCGTAAAAAAACTTTGGCTTTGCTAAAAGCACTCAAGTAATAATGAAATTGACTTTGAAATTAATCAAACTTCTTCAATAGCTTTAGTGGGCAGATAAGCATACAAGTTGTCAGGTAGTTGATGAGTGTTCAGGGTCTCCCATGAACGTCTGCAATATCAGGTATATAGCCTAGCCGCTGCCTGCCTCACACTACTCTTTTCAAAACATTGTCAGTCAAAGTTACTATATGTCATAGCTGTCATGATGGGATTATCTTAAAAAAAACCATACGGCACTTTGGAATATGCGGTATAAAATACAGAGAAACTCAAACTCCCTATACAGACTAAGCAGACCCAAGTCTTAAGTCCAAACCATCCTTGAAGGATGTTTATCTGTTAGTACTTAATTTGACATGCCGGTGATAAGGCATATTGTAAGCCGTATGATCATTCTACCTATTTCAATCGCTATTCAGTCATATTTGTGACTCTTACAATCATGAAGCTGTCTAATTAATGCTTAGACCCAATATTTTCGATCAAGGTAGGAGGTCACTTTTAGGTTGCGATCTCTATAAGTTCTGATAAACCCTTGACGTCAGGAGCCCGTTTATGATCTATACTTAGTTTCTATCGACAAATTTGATGTAATATTATTTTTATCGACAAACAGCATTGACGTTCCTATCATATTCGTATATCACCACATCACAATAGAGGTTCGAGTCGCGTCACTAACAATACTGGACAAGCGCTTGATATATTACTGTAGATAACGAGTGAAATCACACATGTGCCCTAAGCTCCTCATGTAATGAGGCCTCCGCGGACAGTATTGTTCTCCCGTACAACTTGGGATTTAATTATCGTGTCTCAAAATGATTGGTCGGATATTAATGACGCAATGATTTGATTAGTTGGTAGGTGTGTTCATGGTGAACGTTCGAACAGAACCGCTAATACTGAACTCACTTCTTATATTTGTTTGAAGTTTTAGTTGCATGATTTACACAGGACTTTTTATGAGCGAGCTTTTAAAAGTGAAGTTTACATGTAAAATTGTATGTGTAATGTAAAACGTTGTGTAAATTCTTATTCCATTATACAAACATGAGATACATTTTTGATTTTCTAAGCTTTCTTATTTCAATAATGTTACAAGATCCATGG